TATATATATGTCTGTATATGCATACTGAGGCCAATGGAACACCATGGATGTATTCTCAGGAATGCCACCAATCTCCTTTGAGACAAGGTTTCTCTCTGGCCTGGAGTTTACCACGTGGGCTAGACTGGCTGAATATCAAGCTCCAGGGATCCTCCTGTCTCCACACCCTTTGGCTTGGATGCCAAGTCTGTAGGCCACCATGATGACAATTTTTTGTGGGTTCTGGGGAATCAAAGTCAGGTCTTCAGAGATCTTTGGCCTTATAGAGCAAGACAACAAACACATGCGCAGATGTCAGATGGCAGCAAATGTTACAGGGTGGTAGAGATGAACATTTTATCTGAATGATCTGGAAACGCCTCTATGATAATGTGTGCTGTTTGAGCACACAATGGAAATAAGATCCACTTATAGGACAGAGCAAGTGAAAACTCCTGGCGGAGGGGCACAGTGGACGAGTTACGATGAGTCACAGTCAGGGAGCCTGAGCGAGTGTGCAGGCATGAGGAGGGTAGCAGTGGAGGACAAGGTGGAAAGGGAGAAGCTAGTTTAAGACAGGGAAGATCAGGAATTGCAAGCCCTTTGCAATGAGAAGGGTGAAGGGACCTTTGAAAGGTCAGTTGACGTGGTTTGATCTGGAAGTGAGTGGCATCATTTGCAAGTTCAATGGCACAATGTGAGTTGCGCTACCATTACTCTGTGGATTGCTTGACTTGCTTGTGCATCCTGAGTTAAGAGTTGTGTGGTATCCACTGCCATTGACTCTGCAGTTTTTGAAAAGGTCTCATTTGACAGAGTAGGTCCTAATAGCCTCAGGTTCCCAAACAGCTGTTTTCTTTTGGAGGCACTTCAGAATATTTCCATCTAGAGTAAGTCATTTCCCAGTCAGTGATTCGCATCAGCTAACTCTCCACCTGGAGACCCTTTGTTCTTTCTGTGTTCTGGGCATTAACTGTGTGAAAAGGCCCTTTCAATTTTTCCACTTATACTAGACACAAATTTACAGGATACCATTTTTTTTTAAAAACATGACTGGAGCGATATGTGTCTCTTTGTCAAGTCTGATTATTCTATTGATTCCACCATTGATAAGAGGCCCTCTGTGGATGGGTTTGTTGTTGGATGGTGATAGTCTTATATAACTCACCCTTTATGGACTCTTCTAATGTGCTCCATCTAATTTCTTCATATTTGTTTGCACAGAGACTTAGCAAATTAGATTTGCACAAATTAAGGAAATCCTTCAAGAGAACTCCTACTTGATGCACAAGGATAACAGATTACTTTGAGCACAGAGAAAACAGAGATGAGAAATTTATAAAAAACAGCCTGTTCTTCTTCCCTGGGAGACGAAAGTCCCTGAGAAGCAAATGTGTCTGGAGTGTTGAAGCCAGTCCCAGAAGAGCAGCTCATTTGATGGATGCTCTGGCCTAATGCCTTGCAGTTTCTACTTTGCACACAAATCATCTAGGGATCTTTTAAAGTGAAGATTCTAATTCCCATGTTAAGGATGACTTAACATGATCATTTGACATAAAGGAATGACATATGAGGAAGAACAGAAAGGAAGTCACTGTGGAAGTGCCTCCTGTGTGCCCACGTTAGCTCTTCATGCATCATGTATGCTAAAGGCTTTCTGAGGTATACATTGAAAATACATTTGGATGATGGATTTGAGTACATTGAAATAAGGCTGATGTGGTAATAGTATATGGTGTCATTTCTGAAGAGATAGGGACATTAGGAATAGAATGTGGGACTATCCACTGTGAAAAGACACAGTTAAGGATTAGAATGATAACACATTCTAATCAGGTGGTTTGATATATCAAATGGCTTTTCCAAGATTATATAGTCTAACACCTGCATTTCAGAAGTGTATGTCCTGATACTCCCCTCATCCTGCTATCATGCTTTTGGAGGCAGGAGGCATGGGGCCACCTTCAACTTGATTGCTGTGTACCATGATTAGAGTTTTAAACTGACCAATAGTGACAGAATTTGGAAGCTATGATAAAAGTCAGATGATGGGGAACATGAACACTATCAAAGATAATCTCTGCCTGTTTCTTCTTTCCCTCTGGTTTGCACTTATGGCTATGAAATAGGACAATTATGCCAAACTATGATATAGAAGCAAAATTAAAAACAAAGAAGAGACAATGCTGAATTAAAAAAAAGCAATCTGTGAAAACCAAATTAGCAATGAATTAGCAATGAAGAATTGGACGACTCAGATACTTTAGGTTGACAAAGTCTGAGATTCAGTTTCTTTCTTTCTTTCTTTCTTTCTTTCTTTCTTTCTTTCTTTCTTTCTTTCCTTCCTTCCTTCCTTCCTTCCTTCCTTCCTTCCTTCCTTCCTTCCTTCCTTCCTTCCTTCCTTCCTTCCTTCCCTCCCTCCCTCCCTCTCTCTCTCTCTCTCTTTCTTTCTTTCTTTCTTTCTTTCTTTCTTTCTTTCTTTCTTTCTTTCTTTCTCCAAGACAAGGTTTCTCTGTAGCTTTGGAGTCTGTCCTGGAACTAGCTCTTGTAGACCAGGCTGGCCTTGAACTCACAGAGATCCACATGCCTCTGCCTCCCAAACACTGGGATTAAAGGCATGCACCACTGCCACCCAGGCTGAGATTCAGTTTTTAATAATAATGAAATGTGGAAAAAATTACAGCACAGAGGAAAATGAAATAAGGTTCAGTAATCATCTAGATATCAGAAAGCCAGCATATCCAGGAAATACACAGAAAGTAAGGAATAGAAACCCTGACAGAGAAGCAACATGAGGCCTTGGTAATGGACTTTGATACCAAATGTATTGTACTTAAGATATCACACCTGGCAAATTTCCTTCCTTTTTTTTCTATTTTCTATTATTTTAACATTTGTGTGTGTATGTATATATATACCTATGTATCTATATCTATATCTGTCTATAAAATATTTGTGTGTCTGTGTGTGTGTGGTGTGAGTGTGTGAGTGTGTGTGTGTGTGTGTGTGTGTGCGCGCGCACATACACACTACAGAGAACAGAGGACAGCTAATGGGAGTCAGGTGTTAACTTCTACCATTGGGTCTTGGAATTGAGTTCAGATTGTTTGGCTAAATAGCAACCTCCTTGACTCTCTAAACCATCTCACTGGCCCCAGAACAGTCTCTTTTCTGATCTCGTCCTTGAAGGTGGCCACAAGTCAGATGGACTCTATACCAATATAACTCAAAACATATAGCAGTATATGAAAAGAGACATCCATGTTTCTCTGGCTTAGAGATTCTCTACCATATAAAATTCTACTAAGTATTGGTCTCTTCTCTAAATGCTGACACCTGGCTTAAACTCCTAAAGTTTCATGCTGGTTTGGGCACTTGTGAGGTTGTTTTGATTTCCGATATTGATTTCATGAAGAAAGTGTAGGAATAGGAGAAGGAAGAAGGAGAAACTAGTAGGGCTTCTCTTGGAAAACAAGGACATGTATACAACACAGGGTCATGACCCCAACACCAGGCAGTAGAGTTTGAGACTTCCTGAGTGGTATTTTTATGCTGTTCACTTGAGGAATACTGTTCCCATGCTTGTTAAATAACTGGGTACTACTGGCTCTTTTTTTTTTTTTTTTTTTTTTGTATCTGGAGATAAATCAGTTTCTTAAGTCAGAGCTATTTCTCAGCCTGGAGAAGGAAAACACTTTCTCAACCTGTATTTCCCCACTTGATGTATACATGGAAAACAAACTAGGGAAATAGCAACTGAAAAAAGTATTAGAGTGTGACATTTATTCAAGACTCAAAATACATCAAGCGCCTTATGGAGTAGAGAGATAGATGTAGTCTCTTAAGGCTTAACTTTATAGAGTAGAGAGATAGATGTAGTCTCTTAAGGCTTAACTTATGAGCACCAGCTTTGACTAGGTCGGTCTCATTTACTGTTTTCTAGGAGGAATGAGGTTGAGAAGAATACTTGTAATCGTAGAGAAAAGCTCAAGCAAAGACTGGCACAATTTCTTTTTATTGAATTTTTACTTGGCATGGTTTCAAAACGTATCAATCATTTTGAGTTATTTGACAATGTGACAAGATGTTACACTCTATGGTCATTTAGAAATAGCCCCAGGTGAAAGAAACCCTTTCTTCATATTGTCATGGAGTACCATTTCATGAGTTCCCGGTGACTGATGTTAGTTAAGGCTATTCTGATACAGACTACATCAGATGGAATCTAGTGTACAAAAAGAGGACAGTCCTAGGGAGCTAAGGGACCGGAAGCCTAGCTGGGCACATGAATGCTTTGGCATACACTCCCAAGGCTCTTCTCTCTGGGGTTCAGCCTCAGAAAGTGTCTTCATTTCAGTAAATCTGCATTTTAAGTTAAATTAGGGAATGGTATAGTTCCTGCGTCAACACAAAATTATTGCAGATAACACAGTTCTCTCTATCACGTTCTATTTCTAGACCTAGTTCAGCCATGTATAATATTAGTGTGGCTTAGACACAACATGGGTGGACATTCCAAGGTCCTCTATATCTTTACTGCCCATTGTAGAATGGGAACTCAAAAAATATTTTTCAAACAAAAGGTAGAGGAACACGTTTGGTGTGGTTTTGCAATTTTAAATCATGATAGGAGATCTTTATGACTTAGTTGCTATCATAATCAGTGAACTAATTGATTATAATTTGTTAACAATTGTATTGATTATTCAGTTTGGTTATACTGTTAAAACAATATAATTTCTAGGCCGTCTTATCCATTATTTTAAATCACTTCAAATTTCAAAAGAAAAAATTTGTGAGAGCATTTGGGTAGCAACAATAATTATACTTACTCATTTTTAATAGTGTTTCTCTCCCCCTTTATTTTAAAAACATGTCTCCTTCATGTAGACTAAGCCTGGAGTAATTCGCCCAGTACCTGTAAAATCTAAACTGTTACTGAGAAAGGAGGAAGAAGTCTATGAACCCAATCCCTTCAGTAAATACCTTGAAGACAACAGTGACCTATTTTCTGAGCAGGTGAGTATACACATAAGACGGCATTTCCTATTACATATAATAAATGCCTGTATAAACTAACAATAGCATATGTGCAAGAAAATATGTTGAATAGGTTCTATCACTGGTAATGGAAAAGATCATTTTGTATAGAAATTCTCTATAATTCAGTTATTCATTATTATTTTGAAACATCTCAAAGCTTTTCCTAAAAGAAAACACTGTCTACCCCATGAAAGTACTATGTGGGAACCTACAGCATTCATCTCAAGACCGTATGAGCATGTTGTGAATAGCCACATGCTACTGAGTTCTTCTTTTGGAGGCAGCTTATTTTTGAGATTATATGATAGTTTAGATTTGTTAGAGTTGACGAAAATACCATTGTCCAGATTCTTATTAACAGTAAATTTGAGGGGTGATGCAATTCTTCTAGCTCGAGGGTGCTAATTTACTTTATAGGGCAAAAATCATGTCTCTGCTGTCCGTAGAGAGCGCATGCTCTATGTGCATCTTATGTCCTGAATGCTGGGAAAGGGAGAAAAAAAAACTGCCAGTGGCAACTTTCTACAATCAAAGGGAAATATGACAATGTGTATATACACATACTATAAAACATCAGGGCCTAGAGAGATGGTTCAGGAGTTAAGAGTCCTCATTGCTGATGCCGAGGGCCCTGGATCAGTTTCCAGCACCCACATGGTGGCCCACAACTGTTTGCAAGTGTATTTGTCGGCATCTGATGCTTCCTTACGGCTTCCTTCAGTACTGCATGCACATGGTGTACCAATAGTAGCAAGTCAAACTCTTCTGTACTTAAAAACAAAATTAAGTTAAATCTTTAAAATCTATATAAACTTTATTTTCTCACCAAAGACAAATTGTACATCTCTATTTGTCTTATTCAATGCAGCAAATGGGCACGGGCTCTACATTTTTTTTAGTCTTAAATGTTAAGTAGATAAGCAACATAAAATGAAAAATGCTGGATACAACAGTACATGTAAATTAATCTCATTTCATAATCTATAATGAGTAAATTAATAAAAGAACATAGGTATAATATCCTCTTTAAACATTGAATTTAAAAGTGATAGCTAGCAATATTTTTAAAAATTTAATTTGATTAATTTATTTTACATACCAACCACAGTTTCCCGCCTTCCTGTCCTCTCATTCCCTCCCCCCACCTCTTCTCCACCCCTCCCCATCCACTTCCCCTCTGTCTTGCTTCAGATTGGGTAAGGTCACCAATGGGAGTCAACAAAGTATGGTATATTAAGTGAAGGCAGGAATAAGATACACCCCCTTATATCAAGACTGGGCAAGGCATCTCACCATAGGAAATAAAGGTTCCAAAGACCCAGCTCATGCATTAGGAACAGGTTCCGGTCCCACTGCTAGGGACACTACAAAAGACAAACCTACAGAACTGCCACCCACAAGCTAGCAATATTTTTAAAATGTAAATTATTTTGTATTTGTAAAATGTAAGTAATGTTTCGTGGGCTATGTGTAAGCTCCTTGACCCTGGAAAGATGTTTTCCCTCCAGCTTCCATTTCTTAGTTGTGAGGATCAAGCTTTTTAATGGATCCAAGATTTAGTTTACTTTAAATGATTGATTTTCCTTGAATGGATTTTAAATCTTTATATAACTGAGTCCTCATAGTTTCTCATGGTGGCAGTTTATTTCTGGTCACTTTGTGGAACTGTTCTGGTCTTATGAGTTTGAATCTTTAAGGAGGTTTAGAGACAGACAGCCTATGTCCATTTTGCGGAGAAAGTTTATTGGTATGGAATTTATCATGGTTAGTTCTATACATTACAGAATTAGAAATTCCTGTTAGCAAACCAAATTCAATGTCAATAAAACATGTATAAAATACATACTGTTTGTACAACACTAATTTTTTTTAAAGATTAATGTGACATTTAGGGTTAGGAATTCATTGTATAAAGGTTTTTAGAATATAATGTAGTATTTATGTAGGAACGAACTACAGATGTTAAAATAAATTTCACATATTATTATCCATGCAATTATATTCCTCAGAATTTGATTAACTGCTATAAAATAAAGATTTTTACTTTTTATCTAATCTTGAAGCTTAATTTTCCCCAAGAAAGCTCCTTTGTAGCATATCAGGTTAATTTGTCTGTAATTATCCCCTCATTGTCTTGTGGAATGATGAATTCCATGCACAGTGCAGGAGATTCTTGTCATTAAAAAGAATTGATGTTTTTCCTTTTTCATCACTCTTTTGTGATTATGCAAGTCTAAAGCTTAATTTTTGTTATAACTTACACCTGTGCATTTCCAGATAATTGTATGAAAATATCTGGATTTTTTTTCAAATATTTGTGGACTGCAGGCATAATCATGTTTACACTTTCTTTCATTAATTAATTCTCTCATATATCCTTGTTTGAGGGTAGGATATCTTACTTAACAGGATACTACAGGATGTTAAGAACTAAAAGAAATCTAGCATTCTATTTACGTGTGAATTCCAAAGCTCTCTTGGCCTCATTTGTGGGCTGTGTGGAACCCCGAAGCCACTGCACAGCCAGGAAAGGCACATTTGCTCAATTGCTTTCTAGATGTTGAGCACGATGTATAAATCCTTTGTGTCCAGAATCTCCAATGAAACAGATTGCAAAGTTAGCTCACAGATGTGCGTAGTTAAGTCCACTTAAAAAATTGGTATCAAGGGCTCATGGTGCTGGCATTGCTCTTTCACCAGAACTTCATCCGAAGACGTTCATGTTCAGCTCTGCTCACTTCTGTTCTCTCTCAATCTGCCATAGAACAAATCGAATGTTTCCAAACTTGGTTAATCTCATTCGCCCATGTAATAGAAAATTCCTTAGGCAGAGAGCCAGCCAAATTGAAGCAGCTCACATTCACTAATCTCTTTCGTACCAGGGGCAGTTCCACATGACAGGACATGTTGGATGGGATGGTTAAGTTCATAAATTTTCCTTAGCAGGTTCACTGCCATAAAATATGATTTCAAAACGCTGTTACAAAGTGTCAGATGCTAAAGATGATGGGCCTAAGCAGAGATGTATTTATCGTAGCTCAAATGATACAGCTGGGCAGCCTATTGAACAGATTAGGAGCTGAAAAATTGTCTGGAAATAGCTTCTCACGACTAAAAGCAAAGTTTGAGACTATAGCAAAATCTAATAATTGAGACTTTTTAATTTAATGGTTTTTACATCAAAATGTCCTAGGGCAGACAGTATCATTCTGCATTAAATGGATAAAACAAAACAAAACAAAACATGACAATCAAAACTCTTTTGAATGAAGCTTATGCTTTTCTGAAATGAACTCCAAATTTATTAGTGTATCAACTTAGGGTCACAGCATGAGGAAGGTTGAGAACTACTGCTCTAGAGAATTCTCTTCCGTAGCATCCACAGAAACATAAAAAGATCACTGCGAGGAAAGCTCCTCTTTGTATTCATCTCATTCCTTTTCTGCCCCTGATATTTTTAAACATTCAACTTGTCTCCCTTCCCTCCCAATTTCCCTCTGTTTGATATTCCAATTTGATGATGATGTGAGCAACTTTCAGGTTTTCTATTTAATTATCCATCAAGTTATATATTAACTGTGACCTCCACCTGCCCTTCCTGGCTCCACCCAGGTGAAATAACAGGCAAATATCTTTGTGAACAATGCCTCCTTTTATACAGAAGACAGAAATTACCACTTTTTCAAAAGTCATTTTCAATCAAGGTGGTTCAGTCTCTTCTGTCATAAATAATAGTTAAAGTATGATGAAATATTAGCTCATATTTTCAGGTAAGATGTTTTCATGAACTGTTTTAGGTATAGAAATGACTAAACAACTTAGACCGTTCAAGAAGTGAAAAACAGAATCTTTATGTAGTGTTACCTTCATTTCGAAAGGTTAATCCATAAGGTTTGGCTTTTCTCAAATAGTGCTATCTTTGCTGAGTGTTTCTCCCTCCATCCCCTCCCTCTATTCCTCTCTTCTTTACACTCTTCACTATATATATAATTTATTATGTAATAGATAACATAAGAAACCAATTTTCTGACTTGTATTTATTAAAACATGTCCCTTTGAGATAATAATATTTCTCCTCCAGGATATAATCAGATATGCTTACTTCATATTTAAGTTTTCATTACTCTTTTTGGGGGGTCAAATTTCTCTTGACCTTGTCTTCACATCAAAACTGTAAAATCATAACCAAAGCATTGTAATTTTTGTTTCCAGCATTAATGTTGCTAAGAGAGACTTCTTTTTTTTTTTAATCCCATTTTATCTGATATAGGTAGGGGTAAGAATCTTTAAGCGATTTTGTTTTTTGTTTTAAAGTAAATTTAAGAAGTCTGACCTGCTTACTTCTGTTGCAACAGTAGAAGGCCTTACTAAGGAGTAATTGGTGGGGCTGTAGCGCCCGATAAACCCTCATTCACCAGGGGAAGACTATCTTTGTGAAAACTTTACATAGATGTGTCCTGAAACTTGCGTTACCCATCTTTACTCAAGGGTTTGGCCATTGTCATATTTAGAATCTCTCATCGAAAGTGCAATCCAGTTTGAAAATAAGAGCCTTGTTAAAACAGATTTTCTAAATTCCATTTTGAGTTTGTTCCTAAAAGAATTAAGCAATAAAACTTCAGAACAGAAGACAGCTGTAAGAAATAGATACTATTCACAGGTTAGAGCGTTAGAGAATTTGTCTGGTCTTGTGGGAGGATGCATTCTTCCCTGTCTCTTCACAGGAATCTCTAGGTCACCTTGAACTGAGAGTCAAGGCAGCCTGTGTCTAGCAGTGCAGAAATTGTGATGACGTGCCTTTGGTACAGTTACGTCTCCTGGCTTAAGACAGGATACTGCCTATGCTTATCTCTATCTTTGTGTGCACAGTTCCTGACTCCAGCTTCCCTGGGAAGTTTGTCAGATGACCATTAAGAGTGTGGGTAGTGCCAGAGGATCAGGGAGCTTGCTGTGAAGTTGTGTCTCCTAGTGATGTC